GAAGAAGTCCTCCGAGCTCCCCGGTCAGATCGAAGCGGCTAGAGAGAAGGGCGGTCAGCTAGGCGTCCAAGAGTTCAAGACATCAGAAGGCTTCACGAACGATCTGGCCATTCTAAATGGCCCAATCCTACAGTTCGGATATACCAAGGCCATAAACAATGTGTAGGCCATGAACTTGCCTGGTTTCGAGCAGGGAGTGTGGTCGGACTACAATTCGAGCGTAGTTGACCAGATAGATAGGCTGGTAGCAGGCTACGCATACGGTCACAAGCTTACCGACCTCGTGGCTAATCCCTCTCTACCCCCAACCTCCCCCGAGTCCGAACAGGAAAACCAATGGGAGAATTAAATAGTACTTAGTGTAGGCCTAGTCAGAGTAGGGTAGGGACCCGAACTGGCCAGTTCATTTTTGTATGGCTCTCGTTTTGTACCCTTACTTGAAAATGAATGAATTTTTCTTTGTTCAACACTTAGCCAAAATTTTATTTCATGTCTTAATATCTCAATACATATATGTGCAGATAACCCTACCAAAAATTGCGCTTAACATGTGTAAAAACAGGTCATCCAGCTCCCCGAGCTGACTTTTAACTTATCCAGACCCACGCGAATTAATCCCAGGTCACGCACTTGAATACTAGCGAAAAATCCTTAGATTGGTCCCTCCTCATTGGGGCGAGCTAACTTACAATAGCCAGATCGGTCCGCCTCTTTCACCATGTAGGGGTCTTCCCAGTTCGGGTTTAGTTTGCTCGTTCCCCCAACTCGACTTACCGAGTTCTTTCATATCACCGGATTTCCTAGTTTGAAGGAGAGGTGTCTTACCCTAATGTTGTAGTACTGTGCGACCTGCTCTTTGTACTTTGCCATTCTTATGGTTGCTTCCTCCCTCTACTGTTCTAATAGGTTTAGGTTGAGTCGTATTTTCTCCTCATTATCCTGGGCCACAAAATGCTGGACCCTGCCCAAGGGTATTCCAATTTCTGCTGGGATTACAGCCTCTGCTTCATAAGTTAAGACAAACAGAGTTTCCTGTGTAGCAGTTCGGGGCATGGTTTGATAAGCCTATAGTATGGTTTACAGCTCGTCTATCAACCTAGTTCGAGCAGATTCGATTCGCACCTTCATGCCATGCAGGATGGTCCTATTGGCATTCTCGACCTGGCTGTTAGCTCGTGGATGCCCTACGGAAGTGAAGTGTTGCTGTATTCCGAGCTCGGAACACCAGTCTTGGAGGGAACTGTCGGTGAACTGTCTGCCATTGTTTGAGATCAGGGCCCGTGGTATGCCGAACCGACAAACTATATTCTTCCAGAGGAATTTTTGAACCGACCTACTGCTGATGGTGTTGAGGGGCTCAGCTTCTACCCACTTAGTGAAGTAATCTATTATCACAACCAGATGCTCATATCCTCCAGGAGCTCGGAGTAAAGGACCAAGCAGGTCAATTCGCCACTGAAAGAATGGCCATGGGTTTTGAAGATGGACCATCTCTTGAGTCGGGGCATGATGGACCGGCGCGTGCAGTTGGCATGACTTGCATTTTGCCACCAGCTCGACCGAGTCCCGGAAGATGGTCGGCCAGTAGTATCCGAATAACATGCCCTTTTAGGCTAGAACTAGTTGATCGACATGATTTTCACATATGCCTTTATGTAGTTCGCGCAGAATGTAGCTCTCCTCCTCAGGTGTCATGCATTTCAACCATGGACGTAGATACAACTTCTTATAAAGCACTCCGTCCGCGAAAGCATACCTCTGTGACTTGAGAAGGGCCTTGCGAGCCTCTATCTTGCTCAGGGGAAGTTCTCTCTTAGTTAGGTATTGTACGATGGGATCCATCTAAGAACTCATCACTCGTACTACTACCGTGTCTAGTTGCTCATATGCATGATTTTTTACGACCTCTACCAATACTTTCCGGTTCAGCTTGCCAAAAGAAGTGGAAGCTAGTTTAGACAAAGCATCTGTTCTCTTATTGCGGCTCCTCGGGGCTCGTTCAAGGGTGAACTGCTTAAACTGGCTCCTTAGCTCAAGTATTTTAGCAACGTACTTCTTCAATGGCTCTTCTCTGACCTTGTAGTTTCTCAAGACTTGGTTTACTATCAATTGAGAGTTGTTATGGACCCTTATTAATTCAGCTCCCAATTTCCAAGTCATCTCCATCCCTGCAATTAGGGCCTCATATTCAGATTCGTTATTGGAGGTTCTGAAGTCGAATTTCAAGGCGTAAGCCAGCTCTTCCCCGGTAGAGCTGATCAGAAGGAGTCTGGCCCCGCACCATTTTTTGCTGGAGGAGCCGTCAACATATAGTGCCCAGACTGGAACAGCCTGTCCGGCAATCTCCTCAGTTTCATCGATGTCAGCCCGTACAGGGGCTTGTTCGGCCTCAGCTGATTGGATGCCAACTTCTCCGGTCGGCTTGGCCTTAGCTCGCATGGGAGCTTCTCTGGCCCGAATAGCCTCAGCTCGCATAAGAGCCTCTCCGGCATGCATGGCCTTATCTCTGGCCTGTATGGTTTCAACTCGTCCGGGAGTCTCTCCGACCTGTATGGTCTCAACTCGCAAAGGAACCTCTCCGGCCTATATGGCCTCGGCTCGCTAGAGAGTTTCTCCGGCCTGTTTGGCTTTAGCTGGCAAAGGAGCCTTTCTGGTCTGTTTGGTCTCAACTCGTAAAGGAGTCTCTCTGGCCTATATGGCCTCAGCTCGTATAGGAACTTCTCCAACCTATTTGGCCTCAACTCGGGAGAGAGTTTCTTCGGCCTATTTACCCTCAACTGGTTTGATGCCAGCCTCTTTGACCCATTCGAACTCTGGTTGCCCAAAGGAAACACCATCCGCTATGAAATCCGTCAATACTTGGGCTTTGATGGCCGTCCGGGGCTGGTACCCGAAGTCGTGCTCGGATAATTCGACAGCCCACTTGACCATCTTCCCTGACACGTCTGGTCTAGACATGATCTGTTTCAAGGGTTGGTCAGTCACTACCATAATGGGATGAGTCTAGAAGTATGGTCTGAAATTTCGCGCCGGGTGAACTAATGCCAGGAAGTAGTGGTTAATCGGCGAATACCTAGCCTCCGCCCCCTATAGAGCACGGCTGACATAGTACACCTGTCTCTGGACCTTGTTTTCTTCTCTTACTAGCACTGCGCTAACGGCCTCCTCCCCCGGCGCTAGGTAGATGAACAGAGTTTCACCTTGTACTGGAGAAGTCAAGGCAGACAGCGTGGCAAGGTGACTCTTCAGTTGATCGAATGCTTTCTGGCATTCTGAGGTCTATTCAAACTGGGGACCTTTCTTTACAGCCTTGAAGAAATTCAAGCCCCGGACTGCCAATTTGATTCAAGACTACCATCCTACCAGTTAGGCACTGCATCTCCTTAATATTTCTGGAAGAAGCCATATCCATGATAACTTTTACCTTATCCGGGTTAGCCCGTACCCTGTTTTTGGATATCATATACCCTAAGAATTTGTCCAACTTGACCCCGAAAGTGCATTTCTTGGGGTTCAGTTGCATGCGTGAGCTTCGAAGAACGTTGAAAACCTCTCTGAGGTATGTAATGAACTGCTCCTCAGTTTGACTTTTCACCAACATGTTGTCCACGTAGACCTCCATATTCCGGCCTATCTGATCTTTGAACAGTTTGTTCACCAATCTTTGGTACGTCGCGCTCGGATTTTTTAGTCCAAACAGCATGGTGACATAACAGTAGGTAGCATACTCAGTGATGAACGAGGTCTTCTCCTGATCTTTCTCGTCCATAACTATTTGGTGGTATCCCTTGAAAGCATCCAAGAAACAGAAGATTTCATACCCAGTGGTCGATTTCACAAGCAGGTCGATTCGAGAAAGAGGATAGCAGTCCTTCGAGCAAGCTTTGTTCAAATCGGTGAAGTCCACACACATTCTCCAAACTCTATCGTCTTTCTTGACCAACACAGGGTTGGCCAACTAGGTCGGATAGAAGACCTCCTTCACAATTTTGGCCTTTAGCAGCTTGCCTACCTCATCTTTGACGACCTCATTCCGCTCAGACGCAAAATTTTGCTTTTTCTACTTCACAAGTCAGATATTGGGGTCTACGTGTAACTTGTGAATTGCCAACTCGGACGAAATTCCAGGCATGTCATCTGCACTCTAGGAGAAGATCTCCGCATATTCCTCAAGAAGAGCTTCGAGTGCCCTCTGTGTCTGCTCTCCCAGGTCTGAGCTGGTTTTGACCACATGATCGGGTCTCTCCCTACTGACTAGCAGTTCGAGTAGTCTCTCGTCCGTCTCCAACCCCTCTTTCTTCTCCATTGGCTCCTATGGCTCTAAGCGAGTTGTCTGAGTCACCAGTTTTTCCTTATTCTTGAGAGTCGCAATGTAACAGGCCCTAACTACTTTTGGATCCCCTTGCACCTCAGCCACCTCCGCCGGTGTAGAAAATTTCATGCTAAGGTGCAGGGTAGAGCAAACGGCTCAAAACACGTTTAGGGTAGACCGTCCCAAAATCATGTTGTACGACGAGGGCTCTTTTACCACCGTAAAATTCACCGAAACAGTTTGACATTTTGGTGACATCCCCACCGTGACCATGAGGTTATCATATCCTCCGATCTCACCGGTGGGCCTACAAAGCTTATCAGGGGAGTTCTGACTGGTATGAGCTGCTTGTCCTCCAATTGCAGTTCTTTAAAGGTCTTGTAATATAACACGTCAATGGCACTCCCATTGTCTATATATACCGTTTTGACTTTGTAGTTGTATGTGATGACTTCTATCACAATGGCCCCATGATTATTAGAAGCCAAGGGTATTGCGTCTTCAGGTCCATAGATGATCTCCTCGTATATTTTCAATCGCTTACTTGGGTTTTCTTTGTTAGGAGGGGGCGGTTATTTCGCTGAGCTGTGTGGCTATCTCTACCAACAGGTCCTCCTGCAATTGTGTTAATTACCCCTGTTAGGTTCTGTACGTCTAGCACGGGAGTTCAGTCACGGGGACCCTGAGATCAATCGCGTGGGTAGCTCGCGTGCTCCCGCTTATTGCCCCCTTGCCTCTGGTCGGCCCTTCCCTCCTGTATGAACTGCTTCAAGTGTCCTCGTTTGATTAGCTCTTCGATGTCCCTTTTTAGATGATAACAATTCTCGGTATCATGACTTGCGTCGCGATGGTATGCGCAATATAAAATCCGATCTCGTCTGCTCCTATCACCAAGCAGCTGCGGAGGATTTCGAGAGAGGCCCTCCCGTTCCATTACCGCCAGGACCTGAGCTCTGGGCGCTGTGAGGGAGGTCCAGGCCCTCTCCTTCTCGAAGGGCCGGCTCGTTCCTGACCAGGGGCCACTCCTAGGTTGGCGGTCGAGAGTGATCTTCCGGGCATGGCTAGATTGTGCTTCACCCAAACTGGCACTCTTTCTGCGCCTAGCGTCCCTTAGTCTCTCCTGCGCACTTTTCAGTCGATTGACTTCCTCAGCATTAGCCTTCTCATGAGCTTGGTCCAGCATCTCCCGAACTGATTTAGGAGATTTCTCCACAAACTCGGTATACAGCTTCTATTTGTGCAGCCCATTGATGAAGGCAGTCATGATAACCTTATCATTCCGATCTTGGATTTGGAGGGACTCATTGTTGAATCCAACCATATATTCGCGTAAGGACTTCTCAGGGCTCTGATGGATCGTCATCAAATGAGCGGTGTTCTTGGAGAAGGCTCGCGATGAGACGAACTGTGCTGAAAATAGCCGCGCAAGCTGTGTGAATGACTGAATTGACCTAGGAGGCAACCCCTGGAACCACTTATGCGCCTTCCCTTCCAAGAACATTGGGAAGATCTTGCATCGAACCGCGTTCGCGGCTGTTTGCAGGCGCATGTATGTCAGGAAGGCAAACAGTTGATCCTCTAGGTCCGTGGTCGCATCATAAGATTTCATACTTGGTATTTTGAACTTCACGGGCAGCGGGTAATGGCAGCGGGTAATCCTCGATGTCCGGCACAAAGAGGTAGGCAATATATTTATCCGCCTTCGGATCTAGCAAAAGATCCAATTCATCCTGTACCCGGTATTTATCTCTCCTAGGAAAGGGCTCCCTCTGTGGAAACCCTTGGAAGGGCTCCGGGTGCTCAGTTCGGGAGTTCTTGTGGGAGGGTTCCATGACCTTGACCTGTTCGCAGGTGTGCTCTTTTCGCGCCCGCTTTGGGCGAGGGTTAGGGCTCCCCGTCCTTGACTCTGTCGGTCCGACTCCATCCGCCTTCCGTGCCGTGTGTTCCTAGTCATGATAGCCTTCGGACTGCCCCTTTACGTAGTTCACAATAGCCTCAAAGGTGGGCAAATTGCTAGCCACCACCTGCACTAGTTGTTTAGGCGGGACTCGCGGAGCTCCGCCTCTTCGTTCCCTAGTGGGGGATTCTGATGGGAATTTCGGGGGTTGCTCCGTTCGTCCTCCTTGGACCTATCAGCGTTTCTTTGGAATCTAGTCCTTGGCATGATTCGCAGAAAAAGAGAATTACTTTCCCACAGACGGCGCCAATTGATGCGACTGCCAGAAACGTGATCCGAGCCGAGATGCTGTGAGCTAGGTGAACAGAGAAAGGCCGAGTTGATGGGAGGAGATCAAACGAACTGTCCTGCAAAAAGTAGGAAACGAGGGGACTAGTTCCCCGGAGTAGTTCCAACGATTAAGTCAGTAGAGCTTATAAGTAGGGAATCAGCATAGAGTACTGTTGAAGGCGTACCTTGTGTCATCTTGTGGTGCTATATTTATAGGCTTGAGGGTGAGAGTTTCCTTATAGGACTACGAGTCTTAGTCAAGGGGGAGTCTTTCTAAGGTTTCGCCTGCTAATTCCAAAAGGCGCGGGAGGCACGGCCCACTAAGCCCACACAGCTGAATGGCGGTGGAAATGGCCGAACTGGTGCCCGCTATGTCCGAACTGATTTGCCCGAGCTGCTGCAAATGAGCTGATACGTGGCGCATGTAGATTGGCCCCACTACACTGCTTTTCCCTTTTAAACTCTCTAAACCCTTGGCTGGACGATGGGATGAAGCTGCCTTTTTTTTTTTATCTCATTTTGGAGCTGTTTGATGGTTCTTGTTGGACAAGACAATTGAGGTTTCTAGATTAAGGCCAAATGGCCTGTACTAAAGCAATCCAACAGAGCTAGAACAACCAAAAAAGAGTGAGGAAAGAGCAGCTACGCTGCTGCATTTTATATACTGTAGCATCGCTGGCATGAAGAAATAGCGCGTGCATTGCACACGCGCGTGGGTTCCCCCTTTTTTTTTTTTTTTTTTTTCTTTTTTTAACAACAATAAACAAATAATGAAATAATTTTAACAACAAAAAATAGAAATAAAACAAGATTAACCAAATTAAATGAAACGCTAAATTTTTTTTTTGATTAATGATTTTTCCTTTTTATTTTACTAATTTTCACTTAATTTAGGTAAACAAACAACAAATTTTCATAAATTGAATCTAAAAGAATTAAAGCCTATTTTTGTGAACAATTTTCTTTTTTCGATAAATTTTAATGCTAAAAATGTCTTAAAAATAAAAATTAAGAGACTAAATAATAATTATCATTTAATGAAAATAATAATAAATAACGCTAGATTAAAAATTTGATATCTAAAATGCTTAAAAAATGTCTAAAAACAAATCATGAGATTAATAAGTAAAAATAGATAATGATTATCAATAAAATAAAATAAAAATAAAGATAAATTAAAATTTGGTGTCTACATAATTTAATAAGGGAAATAGAACAAAGTAGGAATTCTTAGAACAGAATTCCATTTTAAACTTCTTTTTTTCCAACATGGAAATTTTTAGACAACTATAGATGAGATAGAGACAAAAAATGATTTCAAATAATTGAAATCAAGCCTTTGAAAAATAATCAAAGCATCTAGTATCTACGCCAAAAGAGACACCAAGGGAATTTACCTTCTGCTCGCTTTGAAGTATTTTTTTTCTTTTTCTTTGTGGACTTACTATTGCAAACTAGGAGAGAAACATATTGCAATGCAAGTGAAAATATACCTACTGCCCAATCATGCCTTGCAATATTGTAAATTGGTGTGATGGTAGATGTTGAATTATTTGAGGTGGTGTAATTAGGAGGCATATAATTACTGAAAAATTGTTGATTAAAAGAGTTTAGTGAAAGTTGGACAAAATTAGGAGCTCCATAATTGGCCCATATACACTATATTATATGATATACGAGAACAAAAGATATCCACTCTACAAAATGCAAACGGTACATATTGTCTGAATCCACAAACAAAGCAGATTAATTTTCATTATAAATCCACATACATACAACAGATTGAAATTACTCCGTCTTGAATCTCGGAAAGATGCCAAAACAGCATTCCAATCATGATCATGCAAGGAAAAAAACAGTAGGCCTGCCTCCTTTCTCTCGATCTTTTTCCCATTGGTAAGCTAGAAAGTGGGAAATAATCAGTGACTCACTTTGAATATTTTTTTGATTTGGTAACTAATGTCTTTTTTTTTTTTGAGCCGCAATGACTTATTCAGCTAATTAAAATGTACATTTTAAATCCTTATTTCTTCAGTGACAAAATATGCTTTTAATTGTTGAGTGCCCAAAAATGTCCGCTTTCATTAGAGGTGACCTTTTGACTGAAATAAAAATTTAGTGATCGAAATATTAAAAAAAAAATTTAATTAGTTGGTTTAATTTCGAATATTGATTAGTTAACAAGCTTTCATATGAGATTTCAAATTGAGCGCAAGCATTGCTGTTAATTGAAGGCATTTTGTTTTACATGTTGCTTTAAATTTTATTGATGAGGTGACAAACTACAGAGTGCTTTTCTAAGTTAGTGAGATGAAAAACCATAAGAAAAAATTAAAACTATTTGATTGGTCACTAAATTTTGTGGCATCTCTAATTACATGTTCCAAATGTTAGGTTTGTGTCGGTTAGTGAGAGGATTTTGCTCAACATTCACCATTAAATGGATTGAAAGAACTGATAACACTAACATAAACAGCAAGAGGATTGGCTAATAAAATTACTCATTTGTCTAATGCTTGTTTTATAATCAAATATATTAAGTGCTCTGTAATAAAACTGTTGATGGATGCACGCACAATTCATAAATTTCATTACGATAAAGGGAAATACTCAATTACAATTGCAACAAACTTGACCTGGGGAATACATCAAATTATTACTCTTATGCATTGTCTTTAATTAGTGGAAGACATTAGATAAGGTTGAGGCCGCTGACTAGCAAGTCACTAGATAAAACTTTGTTTGCAGCTTCTGTTGGGTGGAATCCATCCCAAAACACATACTCTGATGCATTTGCACATGTTCCTGGAGACTTGGCATTGCACAGAAAAGATGTCTCTATCAGCCCCGAACCACAACATGCCTTTCTTGCTTCAAAAAATCCTGCAAAATAATTGATTTCAGTATATGTATAATCTTGCCTCAATTCAACCTTTGGCCTCACTCTTTCCACTCTTGAATGAATAACAAACGAGAGAAAAATAATTTAATCAGGATTAGTAGTTTTCTGCATTCAATTAGAGAATGAGGAAGTTGAGAAGTACCATTATCTATAGGTTTGGTGACAAGGTCTAAAAGTGGCTGATAGATATCCAAGACAAGAAGATTGAGATTGGGGAGCTTTTGTTTTAAGCTTTGCGATGTCATGTTAAGCTTATTGTTGAATGAAACAGCTGCTGCATTCATCTTCTCAACGCATTTGTTGGTATCCTCGCTAAACAGAGTTATGGATGCTGGAAGACATCCAATTGGTGGCAATGTTGTGACTCCAATCTTTCTTGCTCCCAACTTGTACAGTGCCTATTGCAGAATTTGCAAGAATTTAACTTTAGAGCAGATGGATTATATAAAATTCACCTAACTTATGTGCTGCATCAAGATTATTACTCCTGGAATTGCAGTTGCAGATATGCAATCAGAGAGCAATAGTGTTCGTGGAGAAAACATTACCTGTACAAAATTTACATAGGATTGGATGAGGATGTCTGAGAACTGATCAGGTGTGTATTTCTTGTAGAGCAGAGGATTGATGTAGTAGTTCTGAACAAAGTCACTGCTTCCATCACTCAGAAAGTGGATTGAACCATTTATGGTGGCTGAAGCATTGACTTTCCCCAGAATCACAACTAGCCTATTCTGGTAGTCCTTGTAAAGTGCCAGCTGCTTGCTTAGTGAAAGGGTATTCTAAACCATATAAAATATACAGTTAATATTATCATCTGATCAGCATTACACTCGTATATAGAATGTCTGTACATAGTAAAAGATTTTGTACTTACATATATTTTTGCAGTAGCTTCATAATAACCAGAACCTGCTGAAGCAAAGTTGGCCCCAAGCAACATGTTTTTCGTTGTTTTCGCCTTATTGCTCAGATAAGGCTTTGGATAATCAGTGAAGCCTAGATTCTCACCTGCATTAGCTAAAATTCGTTAGATAACTGTAAAAATCATACATTTGCATTGAGAAAACAAAGGGAGGAGAAAATGATAGGAGGGTTGAGATTGAAGAGAAGTACCAGTAAAATCTGTGGCAAGCTTCCCATTGCAGAACCTCCCTGTTGCTTCATGGTTAATGAAGTCTCTTCCATAAGGGGGGAAGTTGGCTTTGATTAGAGTCTCTAAATAGTTATTGTTTCCCACATCAACAATAGAATCCCCAAACAAGTATAGTGCAGGAACTAGAGGCTGTCCATTGACAACATTGAGGCCCAAAACTAGTAGGAAGCATGTCAATAGAAAAACTGAAGCGGCCATTGTTTTCAAGCAGTTAATCAGTGATGTAACTCAGAAAAAGAGAGGAATGATGATTGCAATGCAGCAATTGGATGATGCATTTATATAATTCCATTGATGTAGTATTCATTAGCCCAATTGGTTGAA